GGGGGGGAGGGAGAGGGAGAGGGAGAGAGAGAGAGAGAAAGGGGGAAAGATGGGGGAAAAGAAATAAGAGTAACAGAGAGAGAGGAAAGAATTTTTCAATTAAGACTAAAACTAAAAAAAAAATAACAGTATACGAAAAAAAGTTTAATTGAGTTAAGGTGGCAATGAATGAATCGAACGCGTTTTAGATTGAAAGAAGTAGAATTTCTGGTTCTGAGAACTAAATTTAGTTTGTAAAAATAACATTTCTGTATCTTTCAACTAAAACATATTTGTTTCGTTCATTGTCACTTTAATTTAACCAAACATTTTCCTCGTAAATACGTGAAATATCAGAATTTCGAAACAAATTTGATAAAATTCAGTGTATAATTCGTAATTGCATGTTATGTTCCAGGTTGTCGTCGAATGCATTGTAAAACGAGAAAATCGTACAATTGACGTGAGAAAGCATGAGATCGAGAGATTCGATCGTATATACGCCAGTGTCCCTTGGACCTGACACCGATGATGAGGAGACGTTGGTCAACGCGGAAATCTATAACAATGGTAAGTCTTATTTGTTGCAAATATCACAAAAAATTATCATATCCTGTAACATGTATCAGATGATCACTATTTCGTAAGTTTTTACAATATAGTTATTATTTGAAAACAAATTCTTGTTTAACGTCCCAACTGAAATCAAATCGAGTAACTAACTCTCAAAGTTATACAAACTTTTTTGTACTGACGGCCAGATAGATGGTCCGCTATTTTTGTGAGAGTATCAGAACGTATCATCTAATGAATTTGTTTTAGTATGGATGAATTCGAATTTGCATTAACAAGATGAATATGTTCTGAAACTGAAGAAGATCATATAAAAAATAGAGGCCAACCTACCTAGTTGCGAGTGTACAAGAAGTTTGTGTAACTTTGAGACTTAGTTACTCGATACTTTGATTTTAGAACGGTTTGAAACTGGGGATTGAAACCGCTATCAAAAATATTATTTTCATATTAATATTTTTAGCACAGCAAGCCGAAAGAAATTGATTTGTATAAATATTGATATTACAAAACTTTTGTTATTGAACATTCAATATAGGTATCATCGAAATTTTGCATAATACCGTTATAATGCATTTCGATATGATATCGATATTATTTTGATAGAAATTTCATATAGTTTTTGACAAGAAATAGATGACATTGCAGTAGTGATATTTTTATATTGTTTTTTTTTTGCATTATCCTAGTCTCGAGTATTCGACAATATTTTCTCTAAGGCACTCAAAATTTCTTTCTCAGGTATAAATTTATTTGCAATACTTCTGCTAAATAATATCACATCTATAACATGAAAATGGAAATCGATATAAAAAGTTAATATAAATTAAATGAAATATAATTTATAATAAGAACAAAATATTCAAAATATCTCACTTTTCATGCAATTAAAAGAAGTCTATTATTGGACATAATAAAGGGTAATAAACAGGGTAATTAATATCTCTGTAACGTTGTATTATAATATGTAACATTTCAACGTTACTGCAACATAGCTATAAGTTTTCGTGTTGTATGGAATAGCTTTTTTAAACATTCATTAGGTCATTTTATTTATAAAAATACTGAAAAGATTGAAGATCATCAAAAAGTTAATAATTTCCGAGATATTTAATATTATTTAATATTCTGATATTTTTCAGCATAAGATATAATAAAAATCCTATTTAGGGGACTTATCTTTGATGACCTTATTACATATAAGGTGTAGTAAAAAGAAATCCATTATTTTTGCATGAAATTGAAGGCTTTATTTAGCATAGTTAGAATGATCCGATTTATAATAGGTCAAATATGCACCGTTTTGTTCGATAATTTGTTGCCATTTTGAAAGTAATTTCATTATGCCTCTCTCATAGAAACCCTTGTCCCTATTGGCAAAAAACTGGGACAGTCGATTTTCACAAGCTTCTCTTGAGACGAATTTTTCACCAGCAAAATCATTCGCCATAGACAGGAACAGGTGGTAATCACTTGGTGCCAGGTCCGGACTATAAGGTGGATGCATAAGAACCTCCCAACCAAGCTCCCAGAGCATCTGGCGAGTCACCATCGATGTGTATGGCCTGGCGTTGTCCTGATGGAACACA